CGTCTCCTCTCTATAGCTTGCTGTGCTTGCCCTCCAACAAAGTGGACAGTCCGTCTTTCACTGTCTGCCTCCATAGGAGTTAGTCTACAGGTGGTCTCTCCCTAGTGTCTGTGCCCGTGTTGATATTTTTGAGGTCACATTTGCATATGTCCTTATAGCGTTGCCTTGGCCTTCCTGCAGATCTTTTCCCTGCTTCCAGTTCATTGTACAGGAGATCCTTTGAAATGTCACAGTCCTCCATGCGGGAGGCATGTCCCAACCAGCACAGGCGTTTTTGATTCAGTAGCAAGTACACTGTTGGCATCCCTATTCTTTTGAGTACACATTTGTTGGGGACAGTCTCGCCATATCCTCCTCACCCTAATTACATCTGTCTTTAGGGCCCATATTTACCACTTTTTAGGACGGTGTAGAAGCCCAAGGATGTAGCGCCACATGGCTAGTGCAGCCACCCGAGACTCAGCAGAGAGCTTTTAGTTTTGTCACTAACAAAATCATTTCTGTATTCAAAGGATTCAAGGATTCAAAAACTGGGTCTATCAGAATATTAAAGATTTAGCCAGCAGTACTTCCACCATCATCATCACCAAATGCCATATCTATTGCCATAGATGATCTTGCCTCTTCAGAATCTGCAATCTTCAACAACATGTATCAGTTTTTGCGCTAACACCCCTCCATGTCACGACAAAAGGCTGTATAAATCTTCTTACATTGTCCTTTTCCACAGATCTTTCCAGTGGTTAAAAAAAAATGTTCCAGTTTTCTTGTTCTTATAACATGACCAAACAATTTTGACTGTCTCTTTCTGATGCTGGTGATGCTTTTTTTCAAGCCCTTGCCTCTTTTATGCAACTCCATCAGATTTTTTATATTAATAAAATAGTTGTGAATAAAATTATGCAACAGAATCAGCAATTATCATTTAGTGTTTATTGCTATTTGTTTACACAGCAAAGAACAAGTTACACTAGTTCACATTTAATTCCAAGCCAAGTGTCAATGAATGCAAAATAATGGTACCTCTCTCCCTATTTCTCCTTCTCTTACTCTCTCTCTCATAAATCACCATGTGATAAGAGTAGCCAACCGGTCATCTCACGTGAACATTAGAATCATGGATTAGGTCAGTGTCCTGCCAAAGACATTCAGATGTATTCATCTCTTTGTTTTACTCTTGCTTTTCTTTTTTAATTTAAGCTTGCCAGCTGTCACCAAGTTTATGAGTTCATTAATTCCCACAACCCATCCAAAAAAACCTCTGCTGACTACATCTAATTTTGTTTTTTTAATCTAATAAGTCTAGCCTTTTTCAAGGAGGACTGCCATATCTATTTTACTGTCAGCTCATGATACTGTTTACATTTTTCTTGGAAACTATATTTCCTCAAACCTTCAATGCTTATCAGCTGAGGATATTGTTTTTATGTTTTCTCAGAAACCACATTCCCACTCCCACCAAATGCTTGCCAGCTCACAAAAACTCATTTATAACGCCAGCATCAAAATTTCAAATGTCACTATAGTCAGAAAACAAGGGATTCCCACACATACAATATATAAACTGATAGAAGTTAAGCTTTAGTCAAATTCCTATCCTGTGGAACTTGTAAAAACGGTTAAGTTGCATATCCTTGTCAGAACATCATAAATAAACCCCAAAACTGACTGTCTGTTGTGATTTCATTAGTCAGTTGTATGTTTAGCAGTTTGCCACTGCTTTCTGAATGACATAATGCCGTTGTCGAAATCAGCACAAAGTTGTTTGGTTCAAAATATTGGCTTCGAACCTCGATTTGTTGGAACTTTTGAACTGTATTCACAACAGCTAAGCCACAAATGCCATCCAGTCTATGAATGTATCAAGACAGCGTGTCAGCATTAACACAAACAAGGAACAAAAGAAATATGAAATCAGTCTGCACTGTTTGTGTGTCCGCATATATTTTTTTTTAAAATAATTTTTTTTTAAACTGATTTAAGTTTAAAGGCAAACCCAGAAAATTAGGTTTTATTGGTTCACGTGTTCCTACCAATAGTACAAACTTGATAAATCTGGCCTGTGGTACACACGGATAAGTTTAAAAAAAAAAAGCAAAGGTCAAGAGATGCTTCCCCCAAAAAAACTTACCATAAATGGATACATCATCACAATCTGTTAAGAGTCCATGTAAATATAATAACCAACTAACAAGAAACAACAAAATCCACAACCAGGCAGTACTATATGATCTTCAAACCCAGGCCTTACAAACTTGAGTGGCAAGCCGGGAGATGTGAACCAGCTTTCACTGCACACAGTTATAACTCAAAAGTGCTCTGCCACCAGTACGGACAGCTGATAAAAAAACTGTCTGCCTGTGTTGCCATCTGCACGCAACTCGGTAGCTACAGCGCATTCCTCCATTTACCCCAGTGTTAACTCTGGTACCCATTACCAAGAGGCGGGGTGAACCCCAGGAACCGCCCGGTTTCGAACACTGGCCGTGCTGCAGCCAGTCACAGCTGGATTTGAAAGTGAGTCTCCTATCAACTGCGCTAATGCAGCCCCAATGATCTGGATATGTATGCAGAATGGAAGAGAACCAGCGAACATGGCAGGCAGGGGAGGTCAAGAACCAGGAAACCAGATGGTCACTGACTGACAAGAGGACGGGAAAGGAACAAAGCCAAAAAGAAAACTGCTGATAGAGAGGTCTGATGGTCTCTCTGATGAATCTCTACACCCCAGGGTACAAACAAATCTACTAATAGTTTTTGGAGGAAAAAAAAAAATATAATAAAACGGCAGTGTATATCTAATAGCTATAAAACTAGTGTTTAACATGTTGTGGTCCGCAGAACAAAATGAAGGGGACCTGATATGATTTACCATACAGCGGACTGAAGTTCAACCCCAAAAGGACCGCACAATGAGTGATAAACACCTGATGACACAAAGTGCCACCATTTGGATGAGAAACACCCGGGCGCAAGTCCCAGAAACCCTGTTCAACCCGCAGATTATATTTAGGGCACCCGACGACAGCCCGGGTGGGGAGGGGGGGGGGGGGGGGCATTCCTAATATTTATACATTAAAAGTTCTTTAGTATTACTGTTAAAAAGTATGGGTTCGCTGCAGACCTTTGAAACTACCACATGCATGGGCTAACTGCGAACCACTGATATAGAATACGTAATTCCTGCTGGTGTATGAACAGACAACTTGTCTGACTCCAGATGTTGACATCATTATGTCTCAAGGACTATAGAATACGTAATTTCTGCTGGTGTATGAACAGACAACTTGTCTGACTCCAGATGTTGACATCATTATGTCTCAAGGACTATAGAACACGTAATTCCTGCTGGTGTATGAACAGACAACTTGTCTGACTCCAGATGTTGACATCATTATGTCTCAAGGACTATAGAACACGTAATTCCTGCTGGTGTATGAACAGACAACTTGCCTGACTCCAGATGTTGACATCATTATGTCTCAAGGACTATAGAATACGTAATTCCTGCTGGTGGATGAACAGACAACTTGTCTGACTCCAGATGTTGACATCATTATGTCTCAAGGACTATAGAACACGTAATTCCTGCTGGTGGATGAACAGACAACTTGTCTCTCCAGATGTTGACACCATTATGTCTCAAGGACTATAGAATACTTAATTTCTGCTGGTGTATGAACAGACAACTTGTCTGACTCCAGATGTTGACATCATTATGTCTCAAGGACTATAGAACACGTAATTCCTGCTGGTGTATGAACAGACAACTTGTCTGACTCCAGATGTTGACATCATTATGTCTCAAGGACTATAGAACACGTAATTCCTGCTGGTGTATGAACAGACAACTTGTCTGACTCCAGATGTTGACATCATTATGTCTCAAGGACTATAGAATACGTAATTCCTGCTGGTGGATGAACAGACAACTTGTCTGACTCCAGATGTTGACATCATTATGTCTCAAGGACTATAGAACACGTAATTCCTGCTGGTGGATGAACAGACAACTTGTCTGACTCCAGATGTTGACATCATTATGTCTCAAGGACTACAGAACATGTAATTCCTGCTGGTGTATGAACAGACAACTTGTTTTGATGGATGTTGACATATTAAACTAGGTAACTCCTAAGGAACGCACTATATGTGATCAGTTACTGCCCTTTTTTATCAAGCAGCACATGTTTTATTTCTTTTACATTTAGTCTTCTTCAGCATTCCGAGCCCTTGAGGTTTATTGCTGCAAATATCATCCGCTTTCGTTCACCTCTCTGGCTGGCCTTCTCTTTCCAGTTGGTGACACCAAATGTTTGCAGGTCTGTCTGGACATTATCTATCCATCTTCTTCTTGGTCTGCAAAGTGGTCTACGACCATTCATCTCCCTTGTGTATACAGCTTTTAACTTCTCTGTCATCTGACATTATTTCAATATAACCCAACCATTTCAGTCTATTAGTTATTATTATGCCAATGAACAGTGGTGATTTAAACAGATTATGAATTTCATTTTTGGTCTAAGCATAGTATATAATCTGGCGAGATGTTTCAATATAATGCATAACATATTTCTAATTTTTTTTTACCGGGTCAGCCTCCCAAATGCCCAGCCTGGCTGCCCAACTATATGAAGAATATTATGTCGGTAATCCAGACTGAATGGGGAAACACTTATATGAGTTCTTCAGAGATGGCTCATGCCGTCTGGGTTTCACGTGTGACTTGGTTTTGTGACCGATCCCTGTTCATTTGGCCAGAACAGTGCAGCAGAGCTACACTTTGATCTTAGCCAAAGCCGTGAAAAGATGCATATTTTATCTTTTGAAAGAATGACTCATGCATTTTTTTGTTATGTTTATTGTAACCATTTAACATATACAGTGAAATCCTTGAGACTGAAAGAGATAATGCTGTGCTAAATAGGCAGCGGTGTCTGCCTCCTGTGTAAAAGGCAGAGATGTCTATGTTATGTACAGCCTTGTCATTTCCACTTCAGTTAGGATTTCGGCGAGAAAAAACTAGATATGCTTTTCATACCTGTTTTGTCCACTTTACTGAGTTTCTTCTGGGCTATGCTTAGTTTACCACCCTGCACAGACAAGAAAACAAAATTACTGTTGAATTTGTCTTTGATATGGGGAAGCATGCCACAGTTGATAACAATAAATGAATCCTGAGTCATATAAATCATCAACCTGTTTAAATGCCACAAAAAACAGTTTATTCCTCCATTCTCTTTAGTGAAATCTTTTTCACTATTATGTCTGCAGTCTAGATTTAGATATCTGAGAATAACATTCACCAAAGATAGTAAACTGGATGAAGAAGTTAACATCAAATTCAGCAAAGCAAAACAAGTACTAGGACAGATAGTCCCTCTCTTACAGTACAAGACAATCCCGATCAGCTCAAAGAAACATTTCTTACAAAGCATACTCATTTCCACCCTATGCTACCAGTGCCAGACATGGTCACTTACAACAAACCAGAAAAGAAAATAAGCAACCAAAGAAATGAGACGTCTGAGAAGGACTGCAGGAGCGGGCAGAAGAGATAAAATCATCAGTGAGGTCAGAGGACAGACAGTTGGCATGGAACTAATTTTAAGTTACATACAAAGACAGCAAATCAAATCAAGAACAAAATGGAGATACAACATCAGAGAAACTCTACAACAGCACAATGTCTCTATGGTGGAGGCCAGAAGAGGAAAAATCTGAACCTACCTTCCTCCACAGATGTGCTCTATCATCATCATTGATGTATTGCTAAATGGTACAGGTTACATTTATTGCTCTATCAGCATAGAGCTGAAACATCATCATCATTGATGTATTGCTAAACGGTACAGGTTACATTTATTGCTCTATCAGCATAGAGCTGAAACATCATCATCATTGATGTATTGCTAAATGGTACAGGTTACATTTATTGCTCTATCAGCATAGAGCTGAAACATCATCATTGACGTATTGCTAAATGGTACAGGTTACATTTATTGCTCTATCAGCATAGAGCTGAAACATCATCATCATTGATGTATGCTAAATGGTGCAGGTTACATTTATTGCGCTATCAGCATAGAGCTGAAACATCATCATCACTGATGTATTGCTAAATGGTGCAGGTTACATTTATTGCTCCATCAGCATAGAGCTGAAACATCATCATCATTGATGTATTGCTAAATGGTGCAGGTTACATTTATTGCTCCATCAGCATAGAGCTGAAACATCATTGTCATTGATGTATTGCTAAATGGTACAGGTTACATTTATTGCTCTATCAGCATAGAGCTGAAACATCATCATCATTGATGTATTGCTAAATGGTGCAGGTTACATTTATTGCTCCATCAGCATAGAGCTGAAACGTTATCATTGATGTATTGCTAAATGGTACAGGTTACATTTATTGCTCCATCAGCATAGAGCTGAAACATCATCATCATTGATGTATTGCTAAATGGTACAGGTTACATTTATTGCTCTATCAGCATAGAGCTGAAACATCATCATCATTGATGTATTGCTAAATGGTGCAGGTTACATTTATTGCTCCATCAGCATAGAGCTGAAACATCATCATTGATGCATTGCTAAATGGTGCAGGTTACATTTATTGCCCTTTCAGCATAGAGCTGAAACATCATCATTGATGTATTGCTAAATGGTGCAGGTTACATTTATTGCTCTATCAGAATAGAGCTGAAACATCATCATCATTGATGTATTGCTAAATGGTGCAGGTTACATTTATTGCTCCCTCAGCATAGAGCTGAAACATCATCATCATTGATGTATTGCTAAATGGTGCAGGTTACATTTATTGCTCCATCAGCATTGAGCTGAAACATCATCATCATTGATGTATTGCTAAATGGTACAGGTTACATTTATTGCTCTATCAGCATAGAGCTGAAACATCATCATCATTGATGTATTGCTAAATGGTGCAGGTTACATTTATTGCTCCATCAGCATAGAGCTGAAACATCATCATTGATGTATTGCTAAATGGTGCAGGTTACATTTATTGCCCTTTCAGCATAGAGCTGAAACATCATCATTGATGTATTGCTAAATGGTGCAGGTTACATTTATTGCTCTATCAGCATAGAGCTGAAACATCATCATTGATGTATTGCTAAATGGTGCAGGTTACATTTATTGCTCTATCAGAATATAGCTGAAACATCATCATCATTGATGTATTGCTAAATGGTGCAGGTTACATTTATTGCTCCCTCAGCATAGAGCTGAAACATCATCATCATTGATGTATTGCTAAATGGTACAGGTTACATTTATTGCTCCATCAGCATAGAGCTGAAACATCATCATCATTGATGTATTGCTAAATGGTACAGGTTACATTTATTGCTCTATCAGCATAGAGCTGAAACATCATCAGCATTGATGTATTGCTAAATGGTGCAGGTTACATTTATTGCTCCCTCAGCATAGAGCTGAAACATCATCATCATTGATGTATTGCTAAATGGTACAGGTTACATTTATTGCTCCATCAGCATAGAGCTGAAACATCATCATCATTGATGTATTGCTAAATGGTACAGGTTACATTTATTGCTCTATCAGCATAGAGCTGAAACATCATCATCATTGATGTATTGCTAAATGGTGCAGGTTACATTTATTGCTCCATCAGCATAGAGCTGAAACATCATCATTGATGTATTGCTAAATGGTGCAGGTTACATTTATTGCCCTTTCAGCATAGAGCTGAAACATCATCATTGATGTATTGCTAAATGGTGCAGGTTACATTTATTGCTCTATCAGAATAGAGCTGAAACATCATCATCATTGATGTATTGCTAAATGGTGCAGGTTACATTTATTGCTCCCTCAGCATAGAGCTGAAACATCATCATCATTGATGTATTGCTAAATGGTGCAGGTTACATTTATTGCTCCATCAGCATTGAGCTGAAACATCATCATCATTGATGTATTGCTAAATGGTACAGGTTACATTTATTGCTCCATCAGCATAGAGCTGAAACATCATCATCATTGATGTATTGCTAAATGGTACAGGTTACATTTATTGCTCTATCAGCATAGAGCTGAAACATCATCATCATTGATGTATTGCTAAATGGTGCAGGTTACATTTATTGCTCCATCAGCATAGAGCTGAAACATCATCATTGATGTATTGCTAAATGGTGCAGGTTACATTTATTGCCCTTTCAGCATAGAGCTGAAACATCATCATTGATGTATTGCTAAATGGTGCAGGTTACATTTATTGCTCCATCAGCATAGAGCTGAAACATCATCATCATTGATGTATTGCTAAATGGTGCAGGTTACATTTATTGCTCCCTCAGCATAGAGCTGAAACATCATCATCATTGATGTATTGCTAAATGGTACAGGTTACATTTATTGCTCTATCAGCATAGAGCTGAAACATCATCATTGATGTATTGCTAAATGGTACAGGTTACATTTATTGCTCTATCAGCATAGAGCTGAAACATCATCATCATTGATGTATTGCTTAATGGTGCAGGTTACATTTATTGCTCCATCAGCATTGAGCTGAAACATCATCATCATTGATGTATTGCTAAATGGTGCAGGTTACATTTATTGCTCTATCAGCATAGAGCTGAAACATCATCATTGATGTATTGCTAAATGGTACAGGTTACATTTATTGCTTTATCAGCATAGAGCTGAAACATCATCATCATTGATGTATTGCTAAATGGTGCAGGTTACATTTATTGCTCCATCAGCATTGAGCTGAAACATCATCATCATTATGTGCTGTGCCGATAAGAATAGGCTGTCACGTTTCACCATCTCACAAGATCAGGAATCAGGTCAATGTTCTTGTCTCACCCCCATCCACGTGACCAAGCCATCCAGGTATTTATCTCTTTGCCTTCCTCTTGCTCTCTTTCCATCAGTCTACCAAGTTCTCGACTCCATTCATTCCCGACTCACATGTCCCCAAAATATTATTAACTGTCTATGTCTAACGACGTTCGTCTTTCTCTATTAGGACCACTATCACTCCATGATATTCTTTGCATCCTTTTCCAAAACCATGAGTGAATGTTTTTCAGCTTGTCTGTTTATTGCCCATGTCTCATATGCTGAAACACAGAGAATTACAAAAACAACTGCAAATAAACTACAAACATTCACTAACTGATGCCTGCGCAGAACAGTGGGAATTAAACACAGCTAAGGAGCTTTGGGAGAACACTAAAATTCCTCCAGTGGATCGAGAGGTAGTAAGAACAACAGAAGGAATGACAGATTGGTTTCCCATCTCAACATGTGTTAGACAGGGTTGTGTCCTCTCACCACTGCTATTCATTATTCACATGGATAAAATTACACAGAGGCAAAAATGGACACAGAAGAAATCAATGAACTTTTTGTGTGTGCAGTAGATCATGTCTAATACACCACCAAGAACAGAATTTACAACACAATATTGACCCCTTACATCAAACCTGCACAAAGTATGATAAGAGAATGAACACCGCAAAAAACTGAGGTAATGAGAATGGGCAGGAAACATAATTTCATGAATTTCCATGTTAACGGTACTACAATCAAACATGTAGGAGAATTCAAATATCTAGGAAGCATAATTACGAAGAATGGCAAGACTCGATAGATAGATAGATAGAAGCCAGAGTACAGAAGGCAAATGTCGTCATCTACCAAGTAGCCCCACTGTTTGGACATCCAAATGTCTCCCTTCCAGCAAAACAGCAAATTATTAACAGCATCTTCATCCCTACTTTATGTTATCAGTGCCAAACATGGATGTTGAATAGGGAACTAGAACAAAAAATAACCACATGTGAAATGCGCTGTCTCTGCAAGGTCACTAACAACACAAGAAGAGACAGGATTGTGAATACCAGCATTAGAGAAAAGGCTGGAATAAGATGATGTCTGGGGCTATATTGACAGACAGGGAATGAAATGGTTCGGCCATCCAGTGAGAATGCAGCTAGACCAAACTGCGTATGAGACTTTTTACAGCGGAAAATCTGGCAGGAAGGGGAGAGGTGCATAAATGGTGTAGCTGAAACCTGCATAACGATGAACAAATCCATCACCCAAGCCACCCCGATAAGCTCAAGGCAAATACAGAAATCCACAAGACTGGGCTACAACCTAGTATCTATGAGATGACAAAAGAAGAAGAATCAAGAGGCGAGGAAAAGAAAATGGCGCTGGATAGGACAGATATTTAGAAAACCTGATAACAATATAAGGAGAATGTCTGTAGGCTAGAACCTGTATGGTGTGAGGTATAAAGGCAGACAGATGGTGAAGAAGAGAACTGGGAAATGAGATGTAAAGGATGGGGAGGCCAATGGGTGAGTTACATGCAATAACACAGGATAGCACGATTTGTGCAAGCTGGCTGACAGGGCATGTTCCACTTGGTGACAAAGGGCTGAAGAAAAAGAGGAAGAAGAAGAGGGGGAAAAAAGGAAGAAGAAAATAATTAGCAAATGAATAAACAATTACCAAACGAAACGAACAAATAAACTTCACTTTCAACAGGTTAAGAATGAGCAAGTAGGCCTGTCTAACATTCTACCCTCCTTCTCTCCCTTTCATTCCTCATTGAATTCTGATAATAGGTAATAGTAAACATTATTAACAGCAGCTAAATATTAGGAGGGAGAAGAAAACAAGAAGAAGAGGAAGAAGAAACAATGGTATTGGTGAGACAAGTGCACAAAGATCCTCTTCATAAATATAATAAAGATCACAAACATTCACAAACAACATTCTCTTACCTTTGACTTATCTTTCTTGAGATCGATATTGCGACTGTAATCATCGGTCGGTGTCACCTCTGTTGATAACTTGGCTTTCTGGTAAAATGCAAAGAAGGAAAACCTAGCAGTGGTAGATATGTGACATGAATATACCATTTTGCCAAGATAACCCAGTTGGAATTCCGTTAAAAAAACTTAAACAATTTTACTCAGGTCACAAACAAATTTGCTGAAAATGTATTTATATTTTTAAAAAGAATTATATAAAGATATATAAAGGGAATAATCAATAAACATGAAAAGGGAGAAGCATTAACTAGAATACATTCCAAGGGGCCTGGAAAAACATATATATCAGGTGGCTCGTGCCATAACCTGTGACCGTTATCACTGAGGCTACAGGAAAATTCAACATCAACGTGGCTTTAAAATGCTATTTCGCTGCAAAAAAATATATTGTCTAGTAAGATAGATGTCTTAGTACTCTACTCCACCGGTTGTGGAAAAAATTTATGGCCCCTATTTTATTAAACTGGGCTGGTTTCAAAAGAGTCTGGATGGGGAGGAAGAAAAGGGGGGGGGAAGTGTGTGTGTGTGTGTGTGTGTGCAATCTGCCATTTTGGGTTTGAATCTACATTGAGGCAGATTTTTATTTTTTTCAAATTTTACCTTGGCTTCCAGACTGACCCAGTCTAAAAGATAATGTTCTGTGAAGTAGTAATGAACGGTGTAGTAAGCACATTATCCATCTGGTGCTGATTAGTCAATACAAATATGGGTCTTTTATCATATGCTCAATGCGCCAATGGTGTTGAAAAGGGGAGGGGTGTTTCGGGGGACATTACTTTCTTTTTTTATTTTAATAAAATAATAGCGTTAAAGCATCTGCCCACAACAGACTATAGTTACAGAATGTGTACATTTTGGGGTACAGATGACACAACCTGACAGTCTGGACTTTATTATTAGATAATAATACCTGCTCCACTGACCAAACTTCAGCATTAAAGCATCTTCCCACAACAAAATATAGTTACAGAATGTGTACACTTCGGGGTACAGATTACACGACTTCACAGTCTGGCCTCCATGGATACGCTTTTCGCCTCGTGCTTTGAGGGTTGTGGATTCATTTCACGGACTCTTCATGAGTGCAGTTTGTATGGAGTTCTACGGAGTTCATGGTATGTGTGACAATAACTGCATATGGCAGACCATTCTGCAGAGAATGAACAAGCCATATCGGACAAGACCCGGTGCAATAAAACTGATCCACCTGAATTCAAACCATTTTCTTCTTCTTCTTCTTTGTGTTTAGTTTCATGTGCTCAGGTCAGACAGTCAGGTGGCTTGCCTCCATGAACTCACATATCAGCAGCAGGTCCTATATGAATCCCCATAGCTTGCTCTGCACACTTTGCTCTTGAGGCCAGGTATCTCTTCGTAGTTGTGAATATAGTGGGCAGGCCTGCAGAATGTGCTCAGGTGTTTGTGATCCCATCTGACATGCATACTGCAAGGGATTGTAGTTTTTATTTTATGCATGTGGTAGTGGAATCCTTTATTTTGACCTGACAGTAAATCAATGCCAAGCATACCTCTGCTGTTTTCAATGTCAAGATTAAAGACATAAACAACTTCTCGTGGGAACAATCAATAGAGGTATCTTAGGATGGCGGCTGCTTTAGAGGGCAGCGTGAGGGGGAATGCAAGACTGTCTCCTGGAGGAGATGTGAAGCAAATTGTGGCCACACCCAATAGGCCGGTCAACTAAGCTTTGGGGACATCAAAGGGTTCTCGAACTGACAATCCAGTTTATGGCCCATAGTGGATTAAGTGCATGACCAGAAATTGCTGAAGAAGAAGAACCGGAATACCCAATGTGCAGAAAAACATCAACCATTAACATTATGCAAGAAATCAACCGTTAACATTATGCAAGAGCAGAGAGAGCAATGGCTGGCAGCTGCACAATACCTTGTTGGGGGGTTCATTCTCTGTCTGGCTAGCTGCAGGTGATGCTGGAACACTGACTTCTGGAAGGCTGGGGTTTGAGAGAAACACAGCAATTCATTCATTCTTTGTCATGATGTGCTATTATATGTCACAGGGCTCGCAGTCTATTCCCCCATCCCATTCTATCCTGTTTAATACCTTCCCTATCACGGATAGAATGCAGTCCAGCAACTTTGGCCTCTCTCATCAACGTTCACATTAAGATTTCTTTTTGGACACCCACACTTCCTCAATCCCTTAATTTCTCATCTTAGAGCCTGTTTAGTGACTTTCTGCTTGTTCGTTCTCAGGATGTGTCAGATATTGCGCCATCTTCTCTGTCTTGTATCTGTTGCTACCAGTGATTGCCGAGACATTTCTCTTATTTCCTCACCCTTCATGAATTCGCTGGAGTCTGTGGCTTAGGTGTTGTAAACGCGCTTCGTAATGCCGGGTTCGATCCCTTCTGCGGACGATTTGTCTTGCGCTGGTTTCGACAGTGGTACCGAGAGCTGGACAAACAGCAGTGGCAAACTACTGAAGGTAAAATTTGCCTAGAAAAACCACAAACAGCAAATAAATGCTGGGGTTGGTTCTGCAACATCCTGAAAAGGATACACAATTAACTTTTTCATGATTTCATCCCATTTTATGTTCAACACTTTTCCTCAGGTATTTTTTTTTCAAATGCATTTATCTTTTGTTTCATATTTTTTGTGATTCTTCAACTTTCACTGGCATATGTTAAAACTGAAGTAACATTAGAATTTACAATATGCAACTTGGTTTTAAGAGTATACAATTTTGAGTTCCGTATTTTGTTCAGGTTTTCTAAAAGCTGCTGATGCCTTGCCAATGCTTGTCATAATTTCCTCCTTTGTATTTCCTTGCACTAGCTAAGTAAGTAAATTGATCTGTAACTTTAACTCTTGTTGTGTCTAGTGTTACATTTGCTTGATCTGTTATTGCTGTCTTCAGTATTCATACAGCAGCAGAACATAGTAATTCCATACAATGACAAACTTGATAACTATATTAAAAGTCTTGACACAGATCACATGATCATACTTCCCCGTGTGGGTTCCGGGGCCCTATTATAGGGACAACAAGAATGGACCCACTGCCCACCCAAAAGTATGTTGTAAGAGTCGACTAATTGGGAGCTTCCTTCGAAGTCGGAGTGCATCTGCCTGAGAGGCAAGGAACCAACAGTCTGCACACAAATCTGTCAGATCTGTCAAACGGATGCACATGCAACACTCAGGTTCTGGAACAGGGCTGCAGTCTGGAAGTGGACAAACAAGCAGAACTTTTCACCAGAGTTTACAGCTGGTGAACGCAAAGAAGAAGACATGATCATACTGGATTCAAGCCCCGAAATAGTCATCTGATGCAAACCCACACTTATACATTTCAGATATGCCCATATTTACATATTTATACAAGCCTACACTTACATATATGATATAAGCCCACATTTACATATCTGATCTTTTTCTGTCCTACTGCATATGCCACGAAGCATTGCAGAAAGGAAATAGATGTGGTTTCCTCTCTTCTGCTAGTTGTATAGCGTGTGTTGATGTCATATTGCATTTCTAAGAGTCTCTTTTACTCCATCCAGTCATCTCTTTCTTGGTCAGCCTCTTGGTTATTTGTTGCTGTCTCTTCTTGTTTCTCCCGCTGCATTTCTTATACATCTCATCTCACATTTACGTTTTTCCTTGGACCGTCTATGTCCGACACTGATAGCACAAAGTTGGACCGAATAGTGCATTCAGCTGCTGTTTTGTGTGCATATTGTTATTCTGATGCCTCATTTAATACAAGCCCACAATTACACATTGGATACAGGCCTGCACTCACATATTTAACATAAGCCCATACTCACACCAAACTAGTCTAAAAATGGGTACCAGGTAATGTCCTGGGAAATAAATGCGACCGACTTGAGGATCACATCACCCACTGAGCACCAACAGGTCTATAAATATATAGTTCTAGCACCATATTCCCATTAAAAAAGGGACCGTTACTTCACCACTTACACATCAGAATGAATAAAAACCTGGCTGGCTTCAGTCACATGATGCAGGAACTGGTTCCGGTCCTGGGATGGAAAGCTGGCGAGTTTTGGCTTTTACCAGAAAATTATTTAGACATCCTATGAGCAACAGTCTTCTCCTCTCTGCATAGTTCCTTATACCAAGCCAAAGAATTATGAATCTCCATGGAAACTTTGGCACTTCAGTCAGTGTTTGGATCATTCTCCTCAATCTTAACTGCATTGTTAGTGTGCCGAAAAAATTTAGTGCGTTGTGCAGTGGAAGAAGAAGCAGATCGGTAAGACATTATATGGAAGCTGCAGACGCAGCCAAGCATAGAGATAATCTAATACTGTTTATGTACAATACTAGATGTTATGTAGTGAGATGTCTTGATAAAATGTACTCTCGAAGAGAACTCTAATAATAGATACTTCTTCTTTGTTGCACACCCAATATTAGCAAGCAGATGTTGGTTCCTCGACTTCAAAAGAAACACCCCCAATTAGACAGCTTTTACAACATGCTTGTTGGGAGGAGGAGGAGGAGGGGGAAGGAGTGGTTCTATCCCCCCCCCCTCAAAAAAAATAACCATCTGGGCCCCGGAACCTACACAGGGAAATAAAAGGCAGGAGAAGAAGAAAAATTATTTCTAAACAAAATGTAAATATACTCACTCCAAATATTTCCTCAGTTCTTTCTCCAGGGCAGCTGACAGATAGTCGCTGATCAAACCATGTGCATACTCCATGTAAGCATCTGTGGACACACAAGTAACCCAGTGCATCATTTATGCCAGGCTTTTGTCCCAGTACATCCAATTTCAGCACATTCCTAATCAATCACCTTGTTGGTTAGAAGGCAGTGTAGGTCTATTCTTTTTTCCAAAATATCAAAGACCCTTATACATACAATCAAAAACTATTTGAATATTATTTCATTACAGATGAATATTATATGATTACAGACTACTTACTTACTTAGTCGCTCCTCTTCTAACATGGGGTGTAGAAGTTTGTCAGAGAGATCGCCCGCCAGACGTCTCTGTCAGCAGTTTTCTTCCTGGCTTTGTTCCATTTCAGCCCTCTGTCAGTTAGGGACTGTCGGATGTCTTCCCAGCACACCCTGAGTCGCTCTGGAGATCTAGTTCCCTGGTTTTTAGCCTCCCAAGCCTACCATCGTGGCCGATTTTCTCCCATTCTGCATACATGTCCAAACCATCGTAACTGTGACTGATCCGCTTGGGTTTGTAAGGACTGGGTATCAAGATCTTGACCTATTGTCTGATTGCAGACTTTGTGCCTTCTTGTCACTTGAACCACTTTTCTCAGATATCACATTTCTGAGGTCTGAAGCTGGCTTCTGTGAGCTGTTGTCATTGACCATGACTCCTACCCATAGGTCAGTACTGGTACCTAGGTAGAGTGGTAAACGGTCATTTTCGTCCTCTTGCCAATTTCTTTTTTGCTAAGAAACACTCATTTCAGACTACATGCCCCTTAAATGATAATATTATCCTATTTGTTGATTTCCCATAGATTTATTATACTTATTTAGTATTATTATTGTTTTTAAAATTTAGGTACACCAGTAGTTGTAACTAAGACTTAGATGATGATGTTTATTATTATTATCAGCTAAAGTGATGTATAAATGGAATAATGTATGCATGGAGTGAGGCCAGAAGGGCAGAATGTAAGACAGGCCTGTGTGCCCAATTCTTAACAATCTGAAAATAAAGTGTGTTTGTTCTTCCTCGCAAAATGAGATCCCAGATCCCACATGGGGGAGGAAAAAAATCAGCCCAAAAAAAATATTTCACTAAATAATCAATAATTTTGTAACCAGTCCAAATAAGCATCAGTAAACATCCAGGTTACCATATATAAGCAGATTTAATCACATTTCACAGTTAAATCAAGTATTGCAACCAGTTCTCAGCATAAAGGAAAGGTACCATAATAATTAGTAAAGACAGTGCCAAGACAGTACAAGAACACATGTTTTTTAATACTATTGTCTGCTTAGACAGTAAAAGGACCTATATCTGCCACACTAATTTCTCTTACTTTCTGTCATTCTCTAATAATATAAAACACACTGAGAAAGGAGCTCAACAGTGAAGTTAACAAGATGGGGACGACATGGGGTGAGACACATACGATAGCAAAGAAGAAAATGACTTGGCTTGGCCAGTGTTTCCTAACCTTTTTTTTAGTGCTTTGCCCCACCTCAGCATTTCTACAATTTGTACGATCCTTAAGTAACATCGCCATACATTAAACTCTGGAAGAGTCCATTTTCAAATTCCCCACCCCCCCCCCCCCCCCCCCCGACAATCAAAATACCTCTCCTAACAACCAAACTGCCCCCCCCCCCCCTCTTCCTTAACAATCAAATTGCACCCTTTAACCATCACAATTGCCCCTTAATCAAAGTGCCCCAGGCTGGGAAACTGGCCAATGCTCAACCTGATGATAAAGGGCAGAAAAAGATCCAGGAGGGCAGATCAACTTATAAAATCTGCCTCAATGAGACACTGAACACACTTTCACCATTGCACTGCCATGGATTCTCTGTCCCAGGTATGTCATCCTGTATACAATTTAGCATAAAAGTCCAGCCAATCGTGAACGACTCTGAAACGCTTAGACCGAGTTGCTTGAGGGCCTCTGTTCTTTTGTGATGCAATGTGAAAATGATTATGATCATGTTGAAGGAGAAGCAGATGAAGAAAAGAAGGGAAGAAGAAAAAGGAAGGGAAAAACAAAACTTTTACTTAGTTCATCAGTTAGTTAGCGGCGTCCGTGGCTAAGGCGTTGCGAGTCCGACTCGTAAGCCAGCATACCGCGATCGAAACCCACTGCAGGCTGCGTGGATTTATGTCGTGGTATGGGACGTCGCAGGTCGACCCAGCCTAAAATGGGTACCAGGATGGGCTGTCCTGGGAAAGTAAAGACAGCTGGCGTAATGCTGACCACATTACCCACAGAGTGCTGATGGTCTGTAAAAATATGGGACGCTCTGCCCATATGCCCGATGCACCGAAAGGCGTGAAAAGGGATCTTTACTTTACTTTACAGTTAGTTGTGTACAGATTATCCTCAGTGCACATCGACCATTCAGTCCATATGTGCTCGGATCCCCTCCTCAGTAAATCCCGCAGCGTGTAGCGGCCGCGGACACCAGTTCTGTGTTAGTCTTACTGTTCTTTGGCTTCCAGCATAGTGCTCTTGTCTGGCCACACCCCTTTTACCATGTTGTTCTTGCAGTGTGGTCATGGTTGCAAATTCACAGTCGTCACTTGGTTCTCGCAAACATCTTACTTCTCTTTAAGCATTTAGAATATCAGCATGGTCCATGCCTTCAACAGTAGCTTTACATGCAAAATCTGTTACTGCTTGCTTTTTATGGTGATTTAGGAAACAGTGGTCTCGAGCATAAGGATTTATGGCCGAATGGCTAGTGCTGCTACCAATGACTGTGCAGACTGGGATTTTATTTTTGGCCCCGACAGAGAAAAAAAAATCCATAACCTTATTAAGTATTTGAACCAGGGTCTCTCGAATGAGAGTCCAGCTTTCTTAATTTGTCTGAATAAATAAAAATCAGAAACAAACCTCTGGAGACTGAAGCAGATTTGCTTCGTACAAAGATGGCGCTGTGTGACCCTTTGACATCAACACTGATTTTTTTTTGCTCTAAGACATTTGCTACAGCCATAGTCTGAGAAATGATTATAAAACATATGAAATCAGATGACAATAAACTGAAGTCAGTTGTCTGATGTTTTATTCAGTCTTTTCACCAAGTTCAATGTTCTTTCTTAAAAAAAGTAACAGCTGAGTGCTGTATATATTGATATTTCATTATTTTTCTTAATGAAAAGATGACAGCTAAGTATGTACTGATATTTCTTTGTGAACCTTAATGAGAAGATGATAGCTGAGTTCTGTATACATTGATATTTCATTTTAAATCTTAATAAAAAAGATGACAGCTGAGTTCTGTATGTACCGATATCTCTTTATGAACCTTAATGAAAAGATGACAGCTGAGTTCTGTAGGTACTGATATTTCTTTGTGAATCTTAATGAGAAGATGATAGCTGAGTTCTGTATGTGATATTTCTTTGTGAATCTTAATGAAAAGATGATGGCCCAGTTCTGTATGTGATATTTCTTTGTGAATCTTAATGAGAAGATGATAGCTGAGTTCTGTATGTGATATTTCTTTGTGAATCTTAATGAAAAGATGATGGCCCAGTTCTGTATATACTGATATTTTTGTGTCTTAATGAAAAGAGGGGGAGATGATTGAGAACCTACCAAACACCTTTCTGCAGCATAACTGACTGAATTCTTTCAGCACATGTGGACAAGGCAATTAAGATAACCGAGGAGACTGATCCAAACACTGACTGAAGTGTTACAGTTTCCAGGGAGATTCAGAATTCAGGGATGTGTCATGACCTAGTTACATTCTTGTATGCCTTTGAATGTGGTCTATGAATAATTAATTTTGTGTGACCTTCTTCAGCATTCCAAGCCTTTGAGGTTCACCTGCATTTATTCATCTCTGTGTTTGGGTTTCTCTTTCCAGTTTGTCACTCAAACTGCCTGTGTTTTATCTCTCCACCGACTTCTTGATCTTCCGCCTCAAGGTCTACTACTGTTCAGCTCTTTTGTCTGTTATGACTACTGTTCAGCTCTTTTGTCTGTTATTACTACTGTTCAGCTCTTTTGTCTGTTATGACTACTGTTCAGCTCTTTTGTCTGTTATGACTACTGTTCAGCTCTTTTGTCTGTTATGACTACTGTTCAGCTCTTTTGTCTGTTATTACTACTGTTCAGCTCTTTTGTCTGTTATGACTACTGTTCAGCTCTTTTGTCTGTTATTACTACTGTTCAGCTCTTTTGTCTGTTATGACTACTGTTCAGCTCTTTTGTCTGTTATTACTACTGTTCAGCTCTTTTGTCCGTTATGACTACTGTTCAGCTCTTTTGTCTGTTATGACTACTGTTCAGCTCTTTTGTCTGTTATTACTACTGTTCAGCTCTTTTGTCTGTTATGACTACTGTTCAGCTCTTTTGTCTGTTATTACTACTGTTCAGCTCTTTTGTCTGTTATGACTACTGTTCAGCTCTTTTGTCTGTTATTACTACTGTTTAGCTCTTTTGTCTGTTATGACTACTGTTCAGCTCTTTTGTCTGTTATTACTACTGTTCAGCTCTTTTGTCTGTTATGACTACTGTTCAGCTCTTTTGTCTGTTATGACTACTGTTCAGCTCTTTTGTCTGTTATGACTACTGTTCAGCTCTTTTGTCTGTTATTACTACTGTTCAGCTCTTTTGTCTGTTATGACTACTGTTCAGCTCTTTTGTCTGTTATGACTACTGTTCAGCTCTTTTGTCTGTTATGACTACTGTTCAGCTCTTTTGACTGCTATTTTCTCTACACACCTCAACCACTGCAGTCTATTAGCCCTAATGGTGCAGTAGTTAACATGATTTAAATAGATTACTGTGTGACCTTATTATTTTAAATATATCACTGACCTTTGACTTTAACCAGCACAAAGTTTTTTCTTGACTGTAGCGGTACACCTGAAGGTTATCATCAATATCTGGATATGAAAGGAAACAAAAACAAAGGACATTTTTACACTTTTTTGGTTACTATTGAAATCTACTGTAGTCATTCATGTAAAAAATTAGAGAAGTCACTTTGGGTCATTTGTGTAGCAATGAAAAACTCTTGTCTAGCTGAATTATTTCTGTATCAGATGCTAATTTGGCCTCACAAGCAGTCACGACAGTCTTACAAGTTAATCATCGTGTCATGCCTGTAAGCATAGGCTGTCATGTTTCTCCGTCTCACATGATCACCACAATCGCTGATCAAGTCAATATTTGTGCCTCGCCCTATTCATCTGGCCGAGCAATCCATGTTATTTATCACTTTGCCTTTCTCTTGCTGTGGCGTCCGTGGCTAAGGCGTTACGAGTCCGACTCGTAAGCCAGCTGCGTGGATTTTTGTCGTGGTATGGGACGTCGCAGGTCGACCCAGCCTAAAATGGGTACCAGGATGGGCTGTCCTGGGAAAGTAAAGACAGCTGGCGTAATGCTGACCACATTACCCACAGAGTGCTGATGGTCTGTAAAAATATGGGACGCTCTGCCCATATGCCCGATGCGCCGAAAGGCATGAAAAGGGATCTTTACTTGTTTTTACTTTTTTCTCTTGCTGTCTTTTCATCAATCATGCCAGTTTTTTTCCAAGTTCTTGAGTCTATTCCCTCTCATAACATGCCTAAAACAAAAACAGTGACTAAGTCTGTCTAATTGTTCTAATAAGTTTATGACTTTCACATGTCTCGGTGAGGGCTGCTTCATTTGTGGGTTTTTTCTATATTTTAATTCATGATATTCTTTGCATTCTTCTCAAGAACCACATCCCTACCTAAAGAGTTACCTGTTGACAATGTGTATTCGTGATTACTTGTAATCATGTAACTTCCTTTCCATAGGGTCTCCGTGGCTAAGTGGTTAACTCATGGGTTCATTTCATGGACTATCATTTGGTTCACAAGTACAATTTTTACAAAGATCCTATGTATCGTCGTTAGAGACACACACCTACCTTTCCAGTCAGCAATCAGGGATAGCTGGTCTTGGCTACAACAGGAAATTAGTTTGTGACAGTCTGGGAAATCTTCGTCACAAACAATCTGGTCCAGTGTCCTAAATTGACTGCTCTTCTGTTTATCAAAAGTAGAAGAACATTTCAACAACAGGAAAAATCTCAGCAATGCAAACGTCATGAGAATGTAAATCTTATCAACAATGTCAATTTCATCAGTCATGTCTGGGCAATTAGTATCAACAGTTTCAAGACTGAGAAAAATGACACTATACTAGATACACCCTGAGAAGAAACCGAAGAGAATCATCAAACAGACACTGAAATCGGAAAATAAAGGGATTAAGGAGGCAAGGATGCCTAATAGAAACCCTAAAAGAAACTGAGAGAGAGGCCAAAGCTGCTGGACTGGATTCCATCCACGATATTGAATTGATTGCGTAGGACAGAACGGAATGGAGGAATAGACTGACTGATTGGCATCTTTCCGCTTTTCCAAACGATAGTGTTATACTGCGCTATGAGGAGGCATGGGACTCACAGCCCATGGCGGTGGCGAGTCTGACTAGCAAGACCTGCTTGCTTTAAGAAAAGTCTTCCACAATTTTAGCATTAGAAATCAGAACTGTTGTTATCAACATTTGTGTTTAGTCTGTTTCTCCACAGACACTCAGCTCTCATCCTTTCTGCAATCATTTCTTCCTTCAGTCTCATTCCCTAACTGATGTGCCCTCTCCACACAACATGGTCCATGGCATTTTGTTCCCATGAGTCTACCTCAATACCTGCATCATTCATGTTTTGCTAGCACACATCTTTATATCGTAGTGGAGATCGGCCTTGACATCTTCTACCCATCTTTAATTCACCATAGAGGATGTCCTTAGGGACTCTTCCATCCTCCATTCTCTAGGTGCCACCCAGCTCCCTGAGCTTTTGTAGACTGAGCATTTAGAAGACTGGTGTCATACCTGCTCTTTCTAATACTTCAGTGTTTGTGATCTTGTCCTGCCACTTAAGATTCTTCTTAGGCATCATATGTGAAAGCTATTTAGCTGTTTCTCCTGGTGCGAATAAGCTAACCAAGTTTCACTGCCATAAAGCAGAGTTCTGACAACACAAGCCTGATAGACAAGAGTTTTTGTTTTAATCGTGAGCTTTTTATCTATCTGAATAAATATCAGCAACTTAAATCTCACAAGTAATGTAAATTTCGGTCAGGTAAAATTTTAATTTGGGTGGTTTTTGTGTTTTTAGTGTTTTATGGGGTAATCTTTTTCTTAGCGTTTACCAGATGCAAACTCCGACCAAAATTCTGGTTGTTCATCAATTTCTGGACTTTGGACTTGTTCTAGAAATTGATACTGCGTGCAGATACATTCAACAAATGTGCCTTACTTGTATGCAAACTGTAGATTCCTTGCCTCTCAGGGAGATACACTATGACTTTGAAGGAAACACCCCTGGTTAGAAGACTTTTATGATATGCTTGTTACAGGAGCAGTGAATCTATTCGTTACACACAATGGTGCCCCGAACCCACACTGGGAAGGCAGGCAGACAAGCATGCTAGCCAATGAGCCACCATGGCTCTTAGAATTAACTGTCTATTACTGTCTTGTTATAATATTGCTTTATTACATTCATTTTAGGTTGGTGTGGGGTGGTGGCATCTTTAACCTGAGAATTTAAAGCAGCATCAATTCAATGTGAATGAAAGCAGCATACTTCCGGCCAACATGAAGGAAAGGCTTGGCAGAATCTTTAGCTTCAAAGTTATTTTTGCTTCTAACAGCGCTTTGTTATTGCAGCTTCCACACAAGGACGGTAGCCTGTGGTTTCGCTGCCTGAGTTTAGTGCTTGGTTGCAGCCCTCTGAGCTGCGTTTTTCTGGTGAAATGCCTTTCATTAGTGCAGCGGTTGTGTTGTGGTATTCATGGCCGGTAGCCGGTTTATGTGTGAGCTGGTAAAACACCTTATGTAACAATTCTACGTGTGTATAGCAACCAACTTATCGTGCCTGAATACTTCCATCAATAACAAACTGCATTTCTGGTGGTGATTGTTGGCCTTGGCACCTCCAGCAACTGAACCACGCATTTACCGCGTGTATATACTTCTGGACTGTTCTGGAACTAGTTGTTTGTTCACCAGTTTTTCATATGCAACTGTCAGGGACATTTCATTTGATTCGCACTGGCACAGGAACAGTTAAACAGAAGGTGAACATGTCGGTAATACAGTGTTATGCACCAACAAATGATAAAGATGCATCTGTTAAGGAAGAATTTTACATGCAGCTTCAAAACATTATAAATAATGAAAGAAAGGGCAACTTAAAAATTTTGATGGGTGACTTGAATGCTAAGATAGGATCAGACAACACAGGTTATGAAGAAATTATGGGGAGACATGGTCTAGGAGTAATGAATGAAAATGGAGAATTGTTCACAAATTTGTGTGCAGATAACCAGTATGTTATTGGTGGAAGTATTTTTCCCCATAAAAGTATACACAAGGCAACATGGGAATCACCAGACCATAAGACAACTAATCAAATTGACCACATATGTATTAACAAAAAGTTTAGATCATCCCTTTACGATGTTAGGGCTTTCAGAGGTGCCGATGTATTTACCATTTCCTGGTGGTAAGTAAAATCAAGTTGAAACTAAAAAGACATATAACATCTTATAATCATAGAAACCAATATAATGTAGGCTTTCTCAGAGATAAAGAAATAAAGGAACAGTTCTCAGTTACGGTCTCTAATAAGTACCAGGTGTTGCAGCAGTTAGCTGAAGATGTCAACACAGAAGTCTGCTGGGATCAGATCAAAGGAATCTGGAATGAATCTTACATAGAAGTTCTTGGCAAGAAAGAAAGGAAACATAAAGCATGGATAACACCAGAAACCATTAAACTGATTGAAGATAGGAAAAGTAAAAAGGCAGAATTAAACAATAGCAAAACTAGAGCTGCTAAAGCTAATGCTCAGGAGAAATACACAGAAGCCAACAAGGAAGTTAGGAGGCATATAAGGGCAGATAAAGTGAAATATCTAAATGATCTAGCACAAGAAGCAGAGGCAGCAGCAGCAAAAGGAAACCTCAGAGAACTTTACAGTAACACAAGAAAATTAGTAGGTAAATATAGTCAGCTAACTGGATCAATCAAAAATATTCAAGGAAAGGTACTTACTAACACTAAAGATCAAATGGACAGATGGAAGAAGCAGAGGCAGCAGCAGCAAAAGGAAACCTCAGAGAACTTTACAGTAACACAAGAAAATTAGTAGGTAAATATAGTCAGCTAACTGGATCAATCAAAAATATTCAAGGAAAGGTACTTACTAACACTAAAGATCAAATGGACAGATGGGTTGAATATTTTGAAATGCTTCTAAATAGACCAGGCCCTGAGGTTCCCCCAGATATCCAGCCTTTAGAAATGGAACTGAATATCAACTGTGAGATACCATCCAAAGAGGAAATTAGAAAAGCTATAAATCTTCTCAAGGAATGAAAGGCGACAGGCCTAGATGGTATCCCAGCTGAAGCCATCAGGAACAACATAATCACATCAACAGAATTGCTACATAGATTATTCAGTAAAGTCTTTGAGACCGAAGAAATACCAGCAGACTGGATAGAAGGATATCTTGTGAAACTGCCCAAAAAAGGTGATCTACAGGAGTGTGAAAACTATAGAGGAATTATGTTGCTGTCAGTTCCTGGAAAAATATTAAGTAGAATTATTTTGGAAAGATTAAAAGATGCTATTGATAAAATGCTAAGAGATGAGCAGGCAGGTTTTTGGTCAAACAGATCCTGTACTGATCAGATAGCCACATTATGTATTATAATAGAGCAAAGCATTGAACTGAACTCACTACTTTACATTGGATTTATAGGCTATGATAGGGAATCTCTCTGGAATTTGATGGGGCACTATGGAATCCCACAGAAAATTATCAACTTAGTACAGGCAACATATAAAGACATGAAATGTTGAGTTCTTCATGAAGGAAAGTGAACAGATGCATTTGAAATAAAAACAGGTGTGCGACAGGGATGTCTTTTGTCGCCTCTCTTATTTTTACTGGCTATAGACTGGACTATGAAAACAGTAACTGCTAACACCAAGAATGTAATTCAGTGGACCCCTACAAAACAGCTTGATGATCTGGACTTCGCTGATAATATTGCTCTTCTGTCCCATTCCAGGAATCAGATGCAAGATAAATTAAATATACTTAATGCGAGATCACAGCAGCTTGGTCTGAAAATCCATAAAGGAAAGACAAAGATAATGAGAATAAATCAGGCAAATAGTAATGTGGTTTCTCTTAATGGCACCCCACTCCAAGACGTGAGTCGTACACCTATTTAGGCAGTAATGTAGATAAAGATGGAGGAACCGATAGAGATATTAAAATAAGAATACAAAAGGCAAGAGGGGCTTTCATAGCACTAGGGAATTTGTGGAGGTCAGAAGAAATTAAAAGAAATACTAAACTAAAAATTTTTAATTCTAATGTCAAATCAGTACTATTGTATGGGGCGGAAACATGGAGAACAACCAAGGCAATTACTAATAAATTACAGACATTCATTAACTGGTGCCTGCACAGAATAGAGGGAATAAAATGGTATGATAGAATAACTAATGTAGAACTTTGGGAGAGAACTAAACAGGCTCCAGTGGATCAGGAAGTGATGAAAAGACGCTGGCGTTGGATAGGGCACACACTAAGAAAACAGGAGAACTGCATAACTAGAATGTCTTTGCATTGGAACCCACAGGGGCATAGGAATAAAGGAAGGCCAAAAAACACATGGAGAAGAGAGCTGGAGAACAAGGTTAGAAAGATTGGGAGGACATGGGGAGAGCTCCATGCAATGGCGAAGGATAGAACGACTTGGCATGAGTTGGTTGAGGGCCTATGCTCCATTGGGGGATAGAAAGGCAGAAGAAGACAGGAATGGAGCAAGTATAGGGGTAAACCTGATTGCGGTGATGTTGAAACCTTGACTAAGACTAAGACTGAGATTTAAAGCAGCATAAATGTTGTAACCACAAACTGTGCAGGTTGCAAATTTATGTTGCCATAACAAAATAACCCCATCAATTCAAAGAATCCCCAGGATGACAGCCGAGCATTGAAATCTCTGGGCCAAATGGTTCTGATAAAGTTAAACATAATTAACATATCCAAATGAATCTGGCACATGAATATTTACCTTATATGTGCTGACCATATACTGCAGAACCAGGAAGAGTGGGTCCACCGAAGAGGTCATGTACAATCCACCCTCTGAGAAAAGAGGTTAAAGAAATCTATTCATCCATCACAAGAAATATGTCCAGTTTTTCTTACCTTCTCACCAAGGGCACAAATCGTTTGATTAATCAACACAGAACAGGCTTGTAAGTAATTTTACACTTGTGGATATAATGACGAGGAGATCATAGCACCTATGGATCTGTCTGGATTGCTGTGCTGATAATCTTCACTAATCACCAAATAACATTTTAAAAAAATTAAGTAATTTCCATAGCAAATACTAGCCTTGGGATGTGGAAAGGTGTCCAGTAAAGTGTAATAAAGGTCCCTTCTTACACAAGCAGTACATCAGGCACATGGTTGGTCCCTAATTTTTATGGACCATTCCGCACTTGATGACAGATGTAGGTAACATCACACTGGTCGCCTTTACTTTGTAGGACATTTCCTGCTGCTCCTTTGAGCTGGGTTGACCTGCTTAGATCTTCACATATTTAAGGCCATGATATAAGAGTACAGAGTAGGGTCTCCGTGGCAAAGTGGTCAAGCCATCAGCCTGGTGCTTTGAAGTTTATTGGTTCGTTTCACGGATGCATCATTCAGTTCACAAGTGTAATTTTCTATGGAGATCCATGGGAAGCAGTGGAGTTCATACTTTGTAGGACTTTCTCGGCAAGCTGATATCTGTTATGCAGAGAGAGATTGAGCCATATGGGATGAACCCTGGTGCAATGAAGCCGATACTCTTGATTTCAACTTTAACTTTATAAGAGTTTTCGGACAATGCTGTAGAGTTCACAAGTGCAATTTGGGGGGAGGGGGAGGGGGGAGAAGATCCTTGGAGGTCACTGCTGGAGCTACAGAGTTTAAACTCTGTGCTCCCAGTATGGTTCTGAGGTCCCATTGTGGGGAAAACAAGAACAGACCCATGGCCTCATCAACAAGCATGTTGTAAGAATCAACTAAATGGGGTTTTTCTTTGAAATCAGACTGCATCTGCCTGAGAGGCAAGGGACCAACAGTCTGCATACAAATAGGTCAGATATGTCAAATGGATGTACACGCAACTGCCAGGATCTGGAAGAAGACTAATGTCCAGAGGTGGATAAACACCTGAAACTTTCTGCCGGAGTTTACACCCGTCAACACGAAGAAGAAGAAACTCTGTGCCATACTCTCTACACAGACCAATCAAACATTAATGGGAGCTATTTAAAAAAAATTATGGAGAACACTGACTGAAACGAATAAGACAGGAAGCACATGTGATGGGCTACATGTGATGTAGTGACTTGGTCTGAGTTGGTTGACGGTCTATGTCATAATGACGTATAAGGAATACAGAAGAACATAAACATTTACAATTTGGGCATCATGATCAGACAATAGGCTACATACCGCTGTGAACTGTGTTGCCAATAAACCAGGACCTATACTTCTCTTTGTAGCAGTTGACCTCAAAGACACGCAGACAGTTGGCAGAGAGCAAGTACATAACTCCTGTATCTGAAAAACACAATATCATATCAAACAACAGCTATGCAAATATATTACAACATGGTTCATATTCTAGTTAACTCTTTCAGGCCCATGAATTTTGACAGACTTGGCCCACATTAATTTCCCTTTACAAAAATGGCAGAGGGGTGGGTGTACAAGAAAGGCTGTAGAGACTGTAATATACTTCTAATCCCTATAACAGTATATATTTTTTAAACGAGAAATGAGCGTACATTCTGAATCTGATGATAAGTGTTTGTTTAATTTTGTTATAGTTAGTGGAAAAGCAGAATTCAGCAGGTGTTAATTTCACAAGGACAACATTTCACACAAAAATTCTTCACTTACCATGGTTTTGCAGCCACAAGAATAGTAAATATCCAAATTTGAGAACAAAACTTCAAAGTTTGTTCAATGTCCTAACATATTCTAAAGTTATGATAACTTTCTGGGTTAGTTTATCACTCAGGGGCTCTTAGTTCCCACCGAGTGCTAAGCAAAATTTCAGAGAAAAATGGCAGAAAAATGAGCCATAACACACACACTATTTACTATTCACTTTGTATAGTTATTTACAGACTGTAGCTGCGATGATTTCAATGTAGCTTAGCCATAGTATAGTACTATCTCTTTGTTTAGAGCACTTTCCTTCTCTTACACCATAAATACGGTAGTATGGGACATTGTCTGTGTAATAAACTCGTCAGAATCGCTAGATTCCGAACAGCTGATCGCTCAGCTTCACTGGTGAAAATTCACTGTCTGAATCACTTTCCGAAAAATCTAAATTTTTATCATCATTTTCACAATTAAAAACATCTGACTGAAACAATTTCAGAGCTTCGGCCGCAGAAAGACGCATTCTGCGACCTGTTCTTGTGGTTAGAACATTGGTATTCAGTGCACTCAAAAACGAACTTAGAAAATAAACTGTTTAAAAAAATTTGATGTTTTTTCTCTCAAATTATCCATGTGTGGTTTAGTCCAAGAAGTGAAACTAAAAGGATTTCGGCAGAGTGACTTTCCCTGAATAGGTTATTCGTACCTCCAAACATTAGAAACTAGTACGAACGCGCATGCGAAGCAAAATGTAAGAGATACACGATTAACGATGACACCGTTGTTTGGGCAGAACGGAACTTCTCAAACAACGCTCACACCGTTGTTTGGGCCTTAAAGAGTTAATACACTTTTATTTTTAGGCTCTTTTTCTTGTTTGTTACAAAATCACCTCATGTTTTCAGAATTTAGTATATTGAATAATTTGTTTCTTCAATACAGAAACTAAGAATTATATTTACTAGGCACTAGACCCAAATACTAAAACCATGTGAAATTAAAAATTGTTTCCAGTTCTCAGCCCAGACACAGCAACTAGTCCTCACCTAAGATTAATATTACAAAAGATTACTACCCAGTCTACCTGGGGACACCAGACCACAGGTGTCAGAAATATTACCTAATCAGCCTTTGAACCTGCCAAATCAGGGAAAGTAAGTCTGACCAGCATGAAAGTCCAGTCATTGTGTCTCCACACCTGGTTGGCTTTTCATAGTTTCAGTCATAGTTTCGCTCCACTTTAGAAAGTTTTTTCAGTAGGGACAGTCAAGAATTGACTGACAGTTGTAATGAAAGATAACTGTAGGTTGAAAGTATCTCAGGGGTGTGGCTGAAATCCTCTCCTGAAGGGTAGACTTTAAGCGACTGCTAAGTAGGATGAGGGGGAAGATAATACTGTAGGCATCTGGAGTTTAATTGGGTTTGCAGACCAGCCTGCCACCAACTAAGATCAACAGCAGAAAGTAATTCTAGCTGTGTGAGTCTTTTGTTTGGCAAATTGCTAGAATATTCCCTGTTATGACTGAATATCAATTTTACTCTTTTATTCATCTGTTAGTCGGCTCTGTGGCTAAGTCGATGCGAACGCTTCGCTTCGTAATGTCGGGATGCCAGGTTCGATCCCAGCTGCGGGCAATGGGCCTTGCGTTGGTTTCGACAGTGGTATCAAGAAAGTCGACCGTCCAGAAAGCAATGGCAAACTACTGGATGTAAATTGCCTAGAAAAACCACACAACAGCCAGGGGCTGTTAAGGTTGGTTCTGCAACGTCCTGTAAAGGATACGCAACTAACTTAAAAATTCATCTGTTAGGGAGTCTAGATATTTCTACTCTACCTTTTTCTGAATTATCTAAATACACATTCTGCCTGAAATAGTTTTTTTTTGTGAGTATTCAGTTTTCTCGTTAAAGTGCTGATAAGCTACTCCTGTTTCTTTAATGTTTGTATTACATGTTTTTCAGTATTTTTTTTTCATGTCTATAAAATAAGACTTGAATAACGATATTTAATAATATGAAATAATGTCTTAAACATCAGCAAAACATGTGCACTGATTGTGGGGAAATGATGTGCAACCATATGGTGATAGTTTTGACAGCCTACCATGTGCTCAGGGAAATGTGTTTACCTACCCAGGGGAAAACCAAAAAAGCATATAATTGTCACTGGAAGTATATTTCCAGAAGGTCTGCACATATAGTTTTGCGTTTTCAGCACATAACCTGTTACCTCATGGCTATAATCAATCAATGTCAGCCAGTTTTGAAGTCTGAGTGAAGACGGACAACCGACTTAGGACTTTCAACTATCATGACTGGGCATGAGAGGGAAGGCAGACTATGTAGGACATCCATGTGAGACAAAAGAAAAGACCATCAGACTAGACTGGAGAGAATGTGAAAATATGGAGGAGAGATGAGATGTGTTTTTTTTTTTTTTTTTTAAATATGCTTGCTGTGTAGAATCAAGTCACTACATATATGAGTTTGTTTCCTTGATTACAGTTCCCATCGAGGGCAAGGACCAGCCAGCACATCAAAAGCCAAGGGTCCAAGTGTACAAACCTACCTGGGGGAGATCGGCAAGCTGGGAAAAAGCTAAGAAGGGCCTCAACTCCAGGGCTTTCTGAGGTTTTATCTTTATTACCACAGTTATGTGCATCATTTTCATTGCTGAACTAATCATTATCAAAAGAACATCACTCTAATCTCAGGTGCTCAGTTCTCTAGCTGAAGCATCTCATTACCACTATACCATTAGCTAGTCACTGAGTGACTATGTTAACATGACTTTTGTCATCTAAAAAAAATCTAGACATCTAAAAAAAAACTTTTTTGTTCTCCTGTGGGTACCAAGTGCAGCTGCTGTGAATTTACCTGACATGCCAAATATGGCTGTTTTCTTGGATATCCAGGACTTTGTCTAACTCTTTGAGTCCCATGAAACACATCATACGTTCATCGGTTCCTATCTAGAAGCCCAATGAACGCATGATGCTTCGATTTATTACTTTCTTAACTACCCCCTGGGCCTGTGATGCTAAACCCCCTGGGACTCGAAGAGTTAAGATCAACATAGCTCTGATATTAGTCCAGTTTCTCTGGTGGAGGTGAAGTGTTGAGAGTAAAACTTCTACTCATCACAAAAGCATCTATCCACTCTCGGACTCGTGACAGGTTAAATGAGTTAAAGTCACTGCTGTCTATGTGTGTGTAAACAGTTAAAGATACCCCTTTAGTATGGTCTCACATGCATATGAAAATATCACTCACCAAGCCTGGGATGTCTGAGCTTACAGAGGGAAGGTTGTAAGTCTCCCTCAACACAGTCTGTGTTGACAACCTCATCTGTTGACAAGGCATAATCATTTAAATAATATATCTAAGGCAATTAATACCAGCATCTATGTAAAACATACCCAGGTTCTCATCAAATGCCTCTCCAACATATGACGCTGAGAAGCAATAGGAGTAGAGAAGAAAAGGAAGAATCACTGAAGTCATTACGGTGATATCTGACAGAACTTTTGTAAAATGGCTTTTTACTTTACCAACTATCATCATGTGCTATGTCAATAAACACAGTAGGTTGCCGTATTTTGCCAATTCACATGATCATTAGAATCAGTGTTCTTATCTCCGACCCCAGTAAAACGGTTGTAAACGCAAAACTCAGGTTCAGGTAAAAGCCAAAAGTTCAAGTGGCGATTAACCAGGACCTTCCGCCGGAATTCACAGCCGGTGAATGAAGAAGAAGAAGAAGAAGAATCTCCCACCATTCATATGGTCAAGTTATTAGGGTATTTATCACTTGCCTTCCCTTTGCTCTTTTCCCATCAAAATAGTTAGTTGACGCTAAGTTCTTGGGTCCATTCCTTCTGAAAACAAATCCTCAAAAATATCCCACTAACTTTTCTAATATAAATATATCACTTATATCCATGTCCACACATGCATGAGAAATAATCCATTCTTTGAGCACACATCATGAGATGAAAGAAAAATCAAGTACACTGTGACAACAGAAAAACTGAAGGGGATGATAGGCATCGAAAGACCATAAGTTAGTTTGGCATAATGGTATCTGAATCAGAAATGATCAAAAGTACATGAGACAGAAGGTTTTGCACAGGCATGATGAACAATGCAACATGGCATGAACTATATTGAGTCATTAACAGAGCTCGACGTGTGAGAAAAAAAGAATAGACCGCCTGCGAGTTAACTGCGCATCCTTTACAGGATGTTGAAAAACCAATCCTCCGCATTTGTTGTTGTTGCTATTTGTGGTTTCACTAGGCAATTTCATGTTCAGTAGTTTGGCGTCGCTTTTTGGTGTGGTCGGTTCTCAATAACAATGTAGAAACCAATGCAAGGTTGTTTGCTACGAAATCGCCCGCACCTGGCATCAAACCTGGCACCCCTGAGTTACAAAGCGTGTTCACAGCGCCTAAGACACAGATGACGACTGTACCTAACAAGCATGTCATAAGAGGCAACTACTACTTCTTCTTTGCATTCAGTTTTGTATGCTCAGATCAGACCATCAGGTGGGTTGCCTCTATGAACTTGCATTTCAGCAGCAGGTCCTTCATGGTTCCTCATAGCTTGCTCTGCACACTTTGCTCTTGAAACCAGGTGCCTTTTCAAAGTTGTAGGTAGAGTAGGCAGGTCTGCATAATGTGCTCAGATGTTTGTGGTCTTGCATGACAGGCACACTGTGGGGACTGTCAAGTCTTTATTTTATGCATGTGGTAGCTGAGCCTGCAGTGTACTGTTCGTACACAAAAAACTGTTGAGTCTGTTGATGGAGTCTTGTGGATGTTTACTGTTAGTTTGTTCTCTCCACAATTCTTTGTATTTTCTTTTGACTTCTGTTTATGGCAATGAATGGGTGTGCTGTTTCTCTTTTGTTCCATTTTTTGCAAGTCTGCTAACTCATTTTCTGGTATGCCGCAGTGAGCCGGGATCCACTGGAGAATGATTTGATTGTTTTCTGAGAGTCTGTTTAGCTGGCGGGTCAGTTCTCTCCATGATGACTGGTGGATCCCTCTGAGTCGCCTGGAGGACTGACATGCAGTGTCAGATGAGGTGACCAATTAGGGGTGCTTAAGGCAGCCATCATAAGTACCAAAACAAACAGTCCGGAACTAGAAAAGCAGTTTATCATCCGTGGCCAACGCTCAACACTCAAGGGTAAGGCGAGACGAATGTATAATCAGACTGGTACCATCGGAATAAGAATCCTTCACTTGCTGCTGAAGATAGGGATGAAGCACTTATGGGAGTGTCCCGAGTGCTATGATGTTGATTCATAATTCAATAGAAGCTGCAGTTGTAGCAAATCAATAGTTGCACACAAAAATGAATGGCATAAGCATCACCAGTTCTTTGGCAACAGATTATTTGTCATTTTCTGAATCTGCAGTTCACACTACAAAGCATGTTAGGCACAATCAAAAAGCATTCCAAATAAAATCTGCAGCTCCCAGTGTCTTGTCAGGCACTGAACGCAATAGCTAGGTGATAGAACTATTGTGTTTTCTCAAGTATAAGACGCACTTATTTTCCACAAATATGTCTAAAAACAGTGTGTGTCTTATATAATGGTAGCAGATTTTTGCTAAAAGATTTGTTGGAAAATATCCTGTACAGGGCCTCATTTGGGAATGTCAGTTAGGGGCGACATAAAATTAGAAGAAAAAAAAATTGACATTTAAAAGTTTTTCCCTGCTGTGATGGTTTTTGTGCTTGTCTTCACACTCACTGCTGTGCTCTTGATACACTAGGAATTCATAGGCAGCATTAACAAACCCTTCAAAGTTGCCATGAGAGATGAATGAAACTAATAGATGAAAGTCTTCTAAGGACAATCTGACAGCAGCAGGTAGTGTGAAAAAACTAACTATAGGAGAAGATTGTACCTAGGTGAAAATATACTGGAATAATGTGTGAAGATTGAGATCGCTTTCAGACCTTCAAGACGTGGCATTTCAAAAGCCACCGATGGAACTGAGGATGAGGCAGGGATTTGTCACTAGACACAGACGAGGACAAGCTAAAAAGCTTTCAAATGGATGAGAGTTTTGACAGTGATGAGGTGTTTTCTGGATTCTATGGTGAATAAAACCGAGTTCAACAACTTTCTGTAATAAATTTTTGACTCTCCTCCGAACTTCGTCCTAATATTATGGCGACCAAACAAATACCCTAACAGGGCCTCAGTCGTGTGTAAAATGCGGACTTCCTCCGACGAACACATCGCGGCAAAACTAGGATTACTGTCCGTTGACAATTTCGAGAAATTAAACAATACACATGATAATAGCGACATGGTGGGGAGACCACGCGCTCCGGCACAGGTTAGCGAGTGTTCTTCTGATTTAACTCACCGCCAAGCGTATACCCAGTGCTACTACGCATGGCGCGGATGGGGAAGGGGTGGAGCTAAACTAGATGGCTGGGACTCCCGAGCAGCAGCTACCGCATTTCGTGCAACTTTCTCCAATTTATTTGCTCTTGAGTCCCAGCCATCTAGTTTACCCCCCCCCCCACCCCCTCCCCGTGCATAGCGGCGCTGGGGATATTGTCGGCGGTGCAGCATAGTCGCAGATACAGGTCCGCTATTAACATATCGCTGAGACCCTGTTGAGTATTTGTTTGCTCTCGATAATATTGGCCCGTTATTCTGAGCCAATCCTAGTTTTGCCGCGATTTGTTCCTCGGCAGGCACCTCGCATTTTACACAGGACTGAGGCCCTGTTAGGGTAATTGTTTGGTCGCCATAATATGGGGACAAAGTTCGGAGGAGAGCCAATTTTGTTGTTCCCCTAAATTTATGGCCCCCAAATCAAGATGGATCTTACACATGGAATAGCTTTATAGTTGGGAAAACACTATATCTTTTCAATCTTCACATAGATAAAAAAAAAATGTTAATAAAGCAATACTCTGCAAAAGATGCTCACTATTTATAATAAATATCCAATTATCTTTCGGCCCCTGATTCTGAACTGGAACTTTTCCAGTTTGTGAACGTCTCTTCCCATTTTGCGATTCCTTCTTCACATCCTGTGACTTAGTCTTGTCATCCTGTGACTTAGTCTTGTCATCATGTGAACTATTCCTCTTGCCTTGTGATAAGCGTGGCATCTTTCTGTAAGTTCTGCTAATTTCTAGATTGTGTCTGTCATCAGTGATATGTGGAAGAGAACAGTATTATTGATATTATCACAAAGAATTCATCCCCGTAAGGGTTTTAGGAACTGTTTGGGGAGGGGGGGGGGGGGGGTGTAATAGCCTCACAGCCACCTAACAAGCATGTTGTAAGTGTCGACTAATTAGGGATGTTTCCTTCAAAGTTGGAGTGCATCTGCCCTTGAGGTGAGGAACCGACAGTCTGCATACACAGAAGCCAGGTCTGTAACACTGATGTGCACACAACTCAGGTTCTGGAACAAGGGTAAAGTCCAGAAGTGGATGAACAGCCAGAATTTTCCGTCGGCATTTACGTGACTGCGACAATGGTAGATTTAACTAAAGTGACTATGAAGATGGGATACCCGGGTTCGAATTCTAGGTAAGGTTGGGGGTTTTTTTCTTCTTCTGGCAGGACAAAAATAAAATCCAAATCTGTAGTCAGAGGCGACAGCATGAGCTGTGGTAAATACAGGGGAAATAATGGCATTTGGCAGTTCAAGAAGGTGAAGTTTGTATTTTGGCTGCAGAATAGCAGACCAAGATAGGAGCTGGCGGCCACACACATGCTGCAATATATGTGGAACACATCTTAGACTGGTAGCTATCTTTTACAGTTCTAATGATTTGGAGATAGCTCACTGATCATTTCAACAACTGTTACTTTTGCAGGGTCCCTCCAAATGGGAAAGGCAAAACAAAGGAGAAAACTATTGACTGGAATATCAAAACATCCCCTCTGCAAAATGGCTGGTACCAAATGATTCCATTGATGAAGAAGAGGACATTGGAGGTCCTGAACCATCAACCTCAAGCAACCCGGATTTTGAGCAAACTACATCCACTGAATAACCTACAGTAAACTGAATAAGAGATCTGAGTTTCCTGAAGAACAAGGCTGAGCTTCTGGGTTCCAAATTGCAACAGAGGAATATCCTGTCAGAAGATTTGAAAATTTATGTGTATAATAGCCACTATAAGCCGCTTATTACATTCTTTTTCAAAGAGGGTGACCTTTCTGTGTGCCACAAAATTTCTGGCATTTACAAACCAGGAGAATGGAGGCTCTTCATTAATTCATCCAAGACGAGTTTTAAAGCTGCTTTGCTGATAAAATGGTCATGTGGTACCACCAATTCTATTTGGTCATGCATCTCATCAAAAGAAACTTATGAAAACACCATGCAGAGTTTGAGTGTATAATCAACTATCATCCTTATTGGTCACTTTGTGGTCACCTAAAGTGGTTGCTCTTTTCTTGGATTACAGGTTGAATACAACAACTACTGTTGGTTTCTCCGTGAGCGGGATAGCCATGCATGAAGTTACCACTGCATCAGATGACGCTGGTCAGCCAGAAAGTCATCTCAGCCTGGCAGTAAGAACACTGAGAACCCAGCACTTGTCAACTCCAGCAAGATTTTGTTGCCAGCCTTGCACACTTAGCGGGTCTTATGAAAACTGTCATCGCAGTGGAGAAAATAGATGTTACCACAAGTACGTAACCAAAATTCTTATGATACTAAAGTAGAAGAAAGACTAAATGTTCAACCCAGAGAATTAAACTTCAACAGGCATATTACTCATATTTATTACTGTAATGCAAATTTTAAAAAAAGACAAACAGCCAGTTTGTGACTTTTATCAGGATATTTGAAATCACCATGTCAAAATCAAGATGTAAAAGAAATAGTGTTTTTATTATATTTAAATTCTGGGTTCTCCTTTCAACTCACGCCGTTAGCTGGAAAGCCGCTTAGTGGGAGTTCTCTCCCTTGGCTGCATTGCAAACACGGAACGGAAAAGTCACGAATTAAACAAGACAGTGAGGTCGACAACAGGGCTGCCAATGCTTGGGTGTTTCCCCCCAGATCTGGGTGTTTATTTGACGCTTCCGGGAAATCTGGTTTGCTTTTTTAAAGTAAACATATCCTTATATAAACGTGGTATTAGTTGCCACGGATGTGACTCCTGCAGATCTGTATGACTCACTGACCGATAAATTTGCGTGGTTAGGGGTAGGGTTAGGGCTAGAGTTATGTGGATGCTACTCAAACGGACAATTCGCCACCGATTGGGCACCAGCCGCGCGCTATTGCCGTCATGTTTGGGAGAATTCAAGTGGCGCCACTCCCACAAGCATCAGATTGCCGGCCAGTATATGGAACTCCTACGTCAAATTTGTCACATCTAACCCTACCCCTAACCCTAATGCTATTCTTAACCCTAACCCTATCCCTAACCCAAACCCTACGCAACCGTATGATGACTACGCAACCGTATGATGATAGGTAAGTATGTCATTTGATTCGTGACTTTTTCGCTCCGTGTTTGCAATGCAGCCAAGGGAGAGAACTCCCACTAAGCGATCGGCGACTTTCCAGCTAACGGCCTGAGTTGAAAGGAGAGCCAAATTCTGTTATAAATAACTTCTGAAAATGTGTTATTGCTGACTAATATTATTATTAAGACTAATTATTTCTAGAGGGGGGACGACACAGGCAGCAAGCTGCAAAGTTAAAATTAAAAAGATGATTGAGTATACAGATCAAACCAAACAGAAACAGTCAGTTTGCTGGGTACAGAATGTGGCAAAGAGTGTCTCCTACTGGTATCAACAGTGACTTTTACAGTGCATGTCTTTTAATTAAGCCGAGCTCTTTGCGGATATACCTAACTGGCTAATCTATAACAAAACCTGGTTGTTGTATTGTGGAAGCAGATGACAGACGTTCAGTTAAGCCGACCATTGAGAATTCTGAAGGTGACAGGATCATTTACACTACATAACAATTACAAAGATGGGTCTGTTGTTCGATAAGTGTGAAGCTCGTGGGTTAAGGCCTGTATTTTTAGTTTTCAGAATGCACTGGTGCTACCTTAAAACTACTAACTTAAGCTTCTACTGTTCTAGTCCAACTGATTTATCAATAATTGAAAAATGCAGAGAATGGCCAGGGGGTGCTAAAGAGGCGGAAGTCTAACAGCTGATTCACAACAATTCTCACCTAGATGATCTGATTATCTATACAGATGGCTCTGTGTTGACAGGGAAGAGAAGAGCCTAGGGTTTCGTAGCAAAAGCCTATGATACATATGATACCATAAGACCTAGCATGAGAATGGAGGTGGAGGGGGTCACTGCAGCTTTCCGGTGACACTAGAGAGCAAGATTCATACACATGTTACTGTAACAGACTCAGAAAGCATGCTGAGAAAGGTAAAGATAGGGATGCTTCAAGCAGAGTGGCAAGCTTCACTTTGCATCTTTTCTCCTGGCAGGGCTCGTGTGGTGGGGAATGAACAGACAGACTGGTTGGATCAGCACCACTGGGTGATTAATTGAAACATGACAAGGCAGATGTGGTCAAGGCCCTTTGGGAACAAGTAACAAAGTCAGAAGACGAAGAGAAACTAATTTATAATTATAGCCTGGAGAGAATGATCATTGATGCACCTGGCTGTAACAACCAGAGGGTTTGGCGGCTTACTACACTCAAAGGAAAGGCAAGACGGACATATTTTGTGACTGGTACAATTAGCATTGGAACTCAGCACTGGCTGCTGAAGATGGGGATGGAGTGCATATGAGAATTCTCCGAGTGCATATGAGAATTCTCCGAGTGCAGTACTGTGACTGTGATGTCAATTTTCATGATTCAATTCAACAGACTCAAAAACTGAGCTCATTGAAAAATTTAATTTATAATTAAAGAAACTGATTGTTATTTCTGTTCCAATATATACAGTTCTGAGAAGCAGATGGACCACCACACACACACAGTCTCACTGCAGTCAGTCTGGTGAGATTGAAATTGATGCTGTGGGGAGTGACGAGAGGTTCTGGCAGATGCTCGCGGCTCAGAGGAAAGGCAAGAAGGACGTTTAATCAGAATGCTACTAGCACCACTGGTATCGGAACTTTTCGCTGGCTGTGATGGGTACAGAGCGCTTATGGGAATGCCTGAATCATCATCAATTCAATGCCCCGAGTGTTGTGATGTCGGTTCTTGAATCAAATCAAATCATTCCAATATTTAATTATTATGAAAAAACGACAAAAGCTTCTTCAAAATAGCTCGTGTGACACAGATGAAACTTCACATTACTTATAAAATAAATTCGTCACCTTTGTCATTAGATAAATATCTTAGAATAACTATAACAACAAACACCAATTAATTATAAACATAAAATCTCGCGGCACCTTGTGTACAAGTCCAATTGCTAGTTCGCGCCTTCTACGTGTCTTCCATAATTTTATAGAACCGTCGTTGAATTCAGGGTTGCCAGATTAAAGAAAAACGTAATTTTATGCCAAACCATCACCCAAAATATGCCAGAAAATTGCCAAATAAAGTGTAACATTGTACCCACTTCACATCAAAAGCTCTAGATTGAATTTTTCACTGTCATCCTCACTGGAACCAGTGGAAGATGCAGCATAAACATTTTCAGATGTAAACATTTCAGATGCAACATTTCTTTGATATCAATAGTTCTGCTCTAATTCTGAAGACTGCATCAAGAAAATCCAGTTGTATTTTGTTTCTTGCTTTTGATTTAGTTGAAGTAACAAGAGAGAATATTCTCTCAACTACAGCATTGCTAACGGGCATCATTAAGCAAGTAAGGGCGAAAGTGGCCAACTCTTTAAATGCCTGGTGTTGAAGTACGCCTATCCAAAAATCTTCACTGTTTGTAGGTAGTCCATCTTTCTTAAATGTAGCTTCTTCTTTCCAGTTGACAAGAATCAATTTTCTGTACTGTCCTTTTTATACTGATGTTGTTTTCTGCCAGGTGTAAAAATGGTAGCTCTGAAAACTGCGTCATTGATATTTGATTTAAAACTTCAAAAAGGGCTCAATTTTGACAGATTCTGAAATATATTCTCGGTGGAAAGTCTACAAGTAATTTGATTGAGAGCTTCCTCTAACACATACATGCATCTTTTT